GAGAGCACTAACTTTGGTTTTATCTCTCTCCCAATACTGAGGACCTTCACCACCTACCAACACCTACATCCTACCAGTGATCTTACCTGCAGTTGAGTTCCAAATTAAGTTTTTCTAAAGGTATTACACCCTGTATCTACCACAGCCCCTATGCCTTCCCTCACCCACCCACACAGAGCCAAATGTAGCCTCACTGTATGCACTGCATACAGATTCCTTACACACACACACACTTATCACAATTATTTATTTAGCACCAACATATTCTGTAGCACTGTACAATAGGTAAAACAAGACAAACTATTAATTCTAACAGAACATGTTGACATACAAGAACACAACATCACAATCAGTATCACAACCCCACAAGTAGCCTCCAAATTATTTGGAGGGTTGCACATGTGGCAGACACTGTATGTCATCAAGGATTACACCATCCAAAAACAGTGTTTTATTAAAACACTGGTTTTGGTTGGATTAACCCCTTAAAAGTTCATCTGGCCCTGCGGGTGTAGGAGTAATGACTGTGTGGCTCTCATACAGCCATTCTAGATGCTGGGCAGGGTGCATATAATATCTGTGTGAGAGCTGCACAAAGAGGGGGAAGAAGAGTAGAAGAAGTAACCAACGTTCCTTGCGCCTCCATTGCCCCAGTGAGCAATCAGTCCTCCCCTGCTTCTGTTGCAACCAGCAAAAAGGTATTATTTTAGAACGGGGGAGATGGGACGATGCAAAAATACATGTAATGATTTTGGCAAAAAAACTTTAAAATGTATCGAAGTTGAGTTAGTGCCTACATTAAAAGGACACTATAGTCACCAAAACAACTTTAGCTTAACAAAGCAGTTTTGGTATCAAGAATATTCCCCTGCAGTCGCACTGTTCAATTATCTGCCATTTAAAAGTTATATCACTTTTTTATGCAGCCCTAGTCACACTTCCCTGCATGTGACGTACACAGCCTTCTTAAATACTTCCTGTAAAGAGTCATCTAATGTTTACACTTCCTTTGTTGCAAATTCTGTTTGATTTAGAATGTGTTATCTCCTGCTCTGTTTATAGCTTGCTAGACCCTACAAGAGCCTCCTGTATGTAATTAAAGTTCCATGTAGAGACCGGAAGATAAAAACTTTTAAAGTAAATAACATCTGATTGAAAATGAAACCATTTTGTCTTCATGCAGGCTGTGTCAGTCACAGCCAAAGGAGGTGTGGCCAAGGCTGCATAAATAGAAGCACACTTGATTCAACTCCTAAATGACACAGAATTGAGCAGTCATACTCCAAAGGCATGATCTATACACCAGAACTGCTTCATTAAGTTAAAGTTGTTTTGGTGACTACAGTGTCTCTTTAATAATGCCTTTGTATTTTAATTCTTTGTTTTTTTGCTTGTCTGCGTGTTTTTTTTCCCTGTTAGATATAATAAAATAGGTCATATAATTTTTATATGTTCTGACATCTTAATGTACTTTAGTTTGGATTATAAACTGCACATTAATCAGTCCTTTTTTCCCCGATAAATAATACTTATTCAAAAAGTTTATTTGTTAGAATAGTTCTAATTTCCAAAGCACTGCAATCCTCCATTTGTGCATGTGCATGTGCGTGAACAGGAATTTCTTACTAGGAATGCTCACTAGGGGCTAGGACTTACAGTATATATCTGACTATTCAATAGCAGTTTCCCCGTAGAACTAAACAGGACTGCTATTCAATTATTACTGTTAACGGTATTTCTTGAAATATAATCCAGTCATCATATTGGGGGGCAGGGCTTGACCTCCAACATGTCCGGACGTGTTTGCCTGTAGCTCCCCACGATCCGGGCCATAACTAAGTGAAAACGGCACTTATTGATACGAAAAGTGCTTTGCAAACTATAAGCTGACACACTAAAGCCAAGCAGACCTTGCTGGACCCAAATACAAAAGTCAGCTGGACTTCACGTCTGAGTCCTATTGCTCGTGGTGTGCCGATGGTGGGGAGACGCGGCCAATCTCCCACCAATAGGAGCGCAACATACAGCTCAGAGCCCCATTATCCCACCCCTTTGGACCGTTGGTGGTTATCCCGGTCCCCACTGGGTCCACTAAGCATGCTCCACAAAGCTCGGAGGAAGGAAACTCGCAAGCTACGCGGCTCATCCAAGATGGCCGCCGCACTAATATCCCAGAGCAGCCAAACAAGCCTGATAGGCCAGAATTGGAAAGAGGTCTTTGAAGCTAGGTTCGAGGCAATCTGCCAGGCCTTCTGGGACCGTCTCACCGAGTGAAGACCCACACTTAACCAACCTGAGCAGGAGACAGCCTGTAAAGCAGCAACTGTTGTCCCAGTAAAGCTTGCATATCAACTCCCCAGCGCACAAAGGGCGGTACAGAACAGATGGCGGAAGCCAGAACTCCTGCAATCCTGCAGAAAACCGCCCACAAAGCAGCGATACCATGCTCCAGCACCCCCCCCCCCCCAGGGTTTAGTAGCCACGGCTCTATCCCTGTGGCAGTTGCCTGTTTCTTTGATTTCTTTTGCATTATGTCACATCATGCAATTTAGCACCCAGTGGTATTATTCATTGTTTACCTTAAGCTATGCTTTATTTACTCGCTCAACCAGCATGTTATATATTAATGCTACTCAACTTACTTATCAGGTCTAGGCACTCTTTCTCGCTCATAAGCTCAGTTTTCTCTAATTGCATTAGCGTGAATGCCCAGACAGTATTGTTCACTTGTGTTATATAAAAAAAAAAAATAAAAAAAAAAAACGTGCAGCATTTCTTCTAAGACATGGTAGGAAAAGCTTTATGGTTACTATTATTTTCTACTCTGTAAACCGTGTCTCACTAAGCCTGTAAATTTTATCAATGCACACAAAAAAAAAGAATTAAAAAAAAAAACACAAAAAACATATTGATCAATTTGTCGGAATTTACTAAACTGGTAATATGCAGTGAATTATAAAAAAACCAAGCACAAATATTATGTCAGAATTGTAGTAGAGTAAAAATGACAGATGGAGATTTGGCCACTCTTATGGTATAGCTCAAAATTTTGAATTCTTAATAACTTAGTGAATATACCCTAATGTGCCCCAAAATACTACTTTGAATGATTGTGATTTATACACAAAACACCAGAAACACAAATGTTTTATACACAAAACATTTAAGCAAATTTAATGTTAAAAATATCTGTTTTAGCTGTAGTCACAGTTGAGCTGTATTTGGCAAAATTTTACAATTTTGTTTTCACTTTGCTAAAAATGTGGTGTAAAACACCGATTTTATTATATAACCATGTACTTCAAGAATGAGCCTCTTCAAATTAAAATAGAGAACTCAGCACAGTAGAGACATTATGACCAATTTCTCCTGTATTCTACAACCCTGGTCCCCAATAAAGCATGATGTGTGAGCTATGACCCTACACTGGGTTCATGTTTCCAGTCATCTAGCTTCTCCCCTCCCTCTATATGTCTTAAGCCAAGAAGGTCACAGAGAAAGCTTGCTGAAGGAGAATGGGTCAGGGATGAGAGCAGACAGAGGGAGGGCTTTGTGTTTGTGTTCCTGCATGTAGCTTGGATGCTTGTGTTGGAGGCTGATATCTATAGGCTAGGACCTCCTGTCTATCAGCAGCTGGAGAAAGAGGGGGTAGGTGGCTGTGAGAACTTCCTCTGATTGCTGTTCCTGGCTGTTCATAGGATCTCCTGCCACAAGGGGGTATCCAGCACACACAGAAGCATTAAGCACTCTCAAGCCTAACTGCATCTCTGAGAGGGAGGTGTATACAGAGCAGGGATACAGAGAGAGAGAAAAAATAGAATTCTATGGCTTTGTAGCTCTGATACAACCTGCTGAGGGTTCTCCAGTCCTGCCACAGCTGCATCTGATCCCTCTGCATCCTCATTACTCAGAGAAACAAGACTGCCATAGTCACCTCTGAACCCCAGGTAAGGGAGGGCTTTAGGTTTGCCTTTATATAAGGATCCCCATTACAGCTGATCTGTCTGACATTTTCCTTTTGCTTTCCACCCTTTACCTTTATCAGGCAGTCCATTATTTTACATAGGAGAAGATAAGTGGGCTAAGCTTGGGTCTTGGGAAGGTAAGTTCTCTCTTTTTTACTTGAATCATTTGTCATTTCCTTAAATATTGCTGTGTTCGAATCAAATCTCTTCTTAGTGGCCCCAGGACATTAGGGTGGGGGTGGGATGCATCTGTCACTGTAGCAAATGCACTGAATCTTCTCAGCCGCATCATGTTAAAATAAGCCATTTCATGGCTTCTACAAAGTCTCCTCCTTGTATTAGATGCATTGGATGTACTACATACAATTACTTTGGATAAATAGGTATACATAGAGCAAAATATGCAGCTTCTGATTGGGGCGTTTGTGCCCATCATCAGAACAGTTTATGGTCCCACTGTCTTCATTTACAGTCACAAAATGGGCAAATTGTAATTTTCATCTTCTGAGCTTGCTTGTTCGTTCTCATGTTATCTCATGTTGTAGTGCCCCTCTGCTCATCATATCAGCACCTCCATCTTTCTCTCAGCTGCAATGCTAGTGAAAAGGTTGATGATGGGATGTGTGCACCTCCCCTTGTACCATTGCTCCCTTTTGCAGAGGAAGGAAAAAAATACAGGTTTCAAGGACATGGGGCCAAGTACATCAGTTACTGTGTAGCTTATAATATTTCAAATACATGCATGAATGATGAAAGCTTTAATTACATAAATATGTCCTGGGATCAGGCAGTGTAACAGTGTGCACAAATATTACATAAATATATCTGTGTATATAATATAGATATTATATAAATATATTTGTGTGTATGTGTATATATATATGTGTGTGTGTGTTTATTTTAAGTGGAGAGAGAGCTACATATGCTAGATGCGA